TGGCTCTCAAGTATCAGGCTGACCTAACCTAGTGACACTTAGCAATGCCACGTTTTCTTCTGGCGTTGGAGTCACCAATAGTCTACAGCTTCTTGCTTCTCTTGTTTTCGCACCTACATAATACGACTAGGAAATATAAGTTCACCCTTAACTAGTAGATATTTAGAGAATTGATCGGGTTTATTTTACCTCAATACATAATTAACTATCTAATTACGTTTGAATTTACTTTATTTCTATTTATAACAAAGAAGATTATATTATTCAACTAGTATATCACATTCGTTGTTTATAAGAACGTATTATCGAATGTTGGTATAGTTACAAAATTTTAGATAAAATAAGCCAAATGAAATCATACAAAAAAAATGTGTGTCACTTATACGCAGTAAGCGTTATTAAAATGAATATATGCAAAATCGATTCCGAACAAATGAGACGGACCCAATTCAAACAATTCCATTGAAAGGCATTGAACATTGAACGTTAAACGACTTTACACATGATAAATCATTTAAATTACATTCAATATTTATTTTAGCAATAATAAAAACTCATACGTGCAAGAATTTTGCTAATCTGACACTATTTAATAAATTTATTGAATAAAGAAAACGAAAACCTAGGCAAGAATCGACTAAAGGTGTCAGTACATTTAGCTGCCTTGCGCGGAATAAGAAATACTTAACTTTTTTAATTCGAGATTGTTCATTTGTGAACTCCATTGTGCTGTTAGGAAATCTTAAAAATAAGGGATGTCATCTATTTTTTCAAATTTTTGATCAAAATGAATGACATACATTGATTTTTATCTTAGAATTATTACATATATATTTTATTTCACCTACAAATTACGCCATAAATTAGTATGAATGAAATAACGCTAATATCTATTGATTTGTAAACGATCTTGTCTTGCTTGTCATTATCAAAAGCCAACTATAAAATTGGCTTTGTTTATAAAATAATACAAGAATATTTTTTATATCAATAATCCTTTTGTTGACAATTGCGGATCTGTCTCCCTAAAGTTTGAATTTATTTACTTATCAAACAGTTTGTAGTCTGATATGGTTGGTAAAGGAGCGAACTTTTCCGCCCACTCTATGACGTCGTTACTAGTAAAATTTTGAAGGTTATTAATAATTTACAATGTGTAAATCAATTATACATATATTATACATATAACTGTAACCTAAAAAGTTTATATCGAATTCCATCAAAGCAACTCACTCATATGAAAGCGAATTTTATCCGTAGAATATCTTCTTAATCTTGAAAAATATAAAATTAAGATTAAATAGACGATCGTATGAATTGCAAAATTAAAAGTCGTGGCTTAGTTATGATAATTAAAAAAACACGTACTAGTAAACTGGTATTCGAACCACATATTGGTAATAAATTACAGCCTATAAAAGTCCACGCCTGAATATACAAAGGCCTCCCCATGGTTTTCTCAAAGGGAGTAAATTAGCCATTATGCCACGAAGGTAGATGAGTTGGCAACCGCAGTTCTTTCATTTCTTAGATATTGGTAGGAAGACGTTGCTGCCCATCTCCTGTTTTTTGACATTTCATTTGTCGTTATTTAATTTCCCTTCTTATAAATCCTCTCAGAATTGAGATTACGATCTTACGAGTTAAATTATGTCAGTTCCATTCAAAAATATAATCAATAAAATAAATAAGATTTTTTTTTCTATTCGTTTATTTTCTTTGGCTACCAGTTTGTACATCATAAACTACTATTTTAAGTAGAAACATATATCTACACATAATTTTCTTTACAGTATTATTAAATATTTTAAGTTACAACCATAATTTCACAGTGATGTCTGAAATGTGTCGAAATTACGTGAGTGAAACATTGAATACACGTCAATGTTATTCTATTGAACAATAAGCCAGTTTAACGTTATAATAATTAATTCTTTACAACTATTTTCGTACTAATCAACGCATTTTAAACCAATAAATGTTACACGAGTGAAATAAACATAACATGATCTCTTAGTAATACTATGCTATATAAGCTTAAGTTAATTATATTTCTTATTTAAAATATTTTGAAGTCTTTTTATTATACTCATAAGGTCAGGTGATAGTACCTAAAAATTAACCGAGATAACACGTAATTATACAGAAATCAAACAAATTGAGAAAGAGATTTTTTTTAAATATTGTCATAGAATACTTTTTGGCACTTTTATTTTTGAATATTATACCGATGTATATGATTAAGAGTTATGTATACAGTTACGCTAAAAGGGTTTAGAAGGAAGACATGATCTGCTTGTTTTTAATGTATGACGCATCTTTAAATTTATGTACAACTACACTTATAAACTGCTGCGCTTTTTACGCCAAATATTCTTTTAAATAACTACTTACGATGTTTATAAGAGAAAGTCATTCAATTATTATTCAGTCTACTATTAAGAATTTACTGAGAAACATATAGTCACTTAAAAAAAATTGAGTGCATTTAACAAAATTACGTTAACATTGGATCAATATTTTAGAAAATGTAACGTATGCTAGGAGCAGCCTTATGCTTTTCTACGCAACCTTTTTTTCACTTCCCTTATACTAATGACACTAACATATTTAAATGTTGCTAATTCACATAAAAATAACACTCCTTTACCTACACACTATTTATAAATAAATAATCAAATATTTACAATTTATACACAAAACATTTATAGCCTCGGCTTCAAAGCTAATTTGTCTATTTGTACTTATTTCATAAAAAAATATGAACTTCCAAATATATCACATAACACTCTTACTCTTCTTGCAGTCGACCGCGTTTAACTGAAACAAAAATACAAACTTAAGTTTCTAGGTGGTTCGAGGTGTATGTATATTTGTAGCTCTGATTTACAATTGAATTTCTGTATTCCAAGTTTAATCTTTATTGAATGTGGTTGAAAGCTGGAAACATAGGTCTGTATAATTATGTTACCATTTCAGCCACATACGATTTAAATAACAGAAAAATGATTGTTTATCACCCGGGATATTGTGTATTACACGTTTAAAAATGTCAGCCTTATTGTTTTTTCTTTTTTTATCAGATTTAAAAAAGGAGGAGATAATTATTTCAATAGTATGTTTTTTGTATGTATAGCAGGCGATATCTTCGTCAATTGTAAACGGACTTTAATTATATATTTTTTTTATTTAATGCTTCCGTGGTGGTCCCGTATATTTATTTTTGTTTATGTATCTAGTTGGATAACGTTTACCTTGGAGTTGTAATATTTATTTACTAAGTTCCACTCAAAAGAGTTAAGCAAACTTCAAAGAAATAAAAAGGTTATAATAATTTCCACTTAACTTAGTAAACAAAATTTTGTTCTTTGTAAATAGGGTAAAAGCCGACTGCAGGTAAACTCTTAATAAAAGTTTAATTTTTAAAGTCAATAGATAGACGTTTGAAGATAGAAAGAAGTACATATTTATTTTGTGCTTTACAGAAATTTATAGTATAAAGTCTTAGTCAACAAAGAACACATTTATATTATATATATATTTGATACAAAACAATTTTATTTTCAGTTCAACAAACTAAACAGAGAAACTTATTAAAAAAGAATTAGACCACACAATTTTATAAGTCGCTTAATCGATGATTTCTTATGTTTTAGTAGATAACATAAGAACTATTCAAGCACCCTCTAATACTCACACATTATATTAACTGAAGAGTAAAATTAAGACTTTAATTATGTAGATTTTAAATATATACTTAATTTTTACATGAGAATGCCTTCTTGTAATTACAAACTCTTTTAGTAACCATTAATGAGATTAAAAAAAAACATGGTTAGTAGAGATTGTCCAATTTAAAACTACACGCGCCTCTCTCATGTGTTTGGTAGACTTACTCACATTAATTATTACAAATATAGTAATGCAAAAATCTTATAAAAGAAACACAATATAAAAGACGTGTGATATAAATTTTATGATGCTCAATACGATAAATGTGACAAAATCTACCAAAAATACAAGAGAGGCGCAAGCAATTTTTTTAATCGTACTTGGTGTTCAAATAAAGTATAAATAAATAAAATAAATAAATCTTTACTAAAATATATTGTATTTTTATTTTTATGGCCACAAAAAATCTGTGATGGCTGTATTTCGGTTTATATAGGAGATAAACGGGTTTTAAAATCTTAAATGGATCGGCTCGATCAGAGAATACGATCTCACAGAATACCAGCGTTAAGTAGCAGCAAAGCTTCGTATGAGCAGTAGCAAAAAGCAGAGATCCTTTTTATTGGCAACGATGGATTCAATCTTAATTTTCATTCCATCCTAATACTAACTTACACATTTAAATTTTGATTTTTAATCAAGGATATATTTATATGATCTCAACGAGTCATAGCATAACATTACAAAAATAGCTATCCTATTGATAAATTTGATTAAAGTCTCATATTTTTGTCATTTTTCAATGGTATTTGCATGGTGTAAGACACAAAATATTCGAATTCAAATATAGAACCAAGATACCAGAAGGAAAAAGTTGAATGCACGCAGTGTCATCTTTGGAGTGTTAATCGTACTCTAATATTAGCCGAGCTAATGAAAACTTTTGGTTAATCGAATCATCTTCATAATTTTATTCATTCATTCATTTATTACAGTGTATCAGAGTCCACTGCAGAATATCGGCCTTCCCATAGATTGTCTTATTCGAATATTATCCATAGGCGGGTTGGCAAACATATTTTTTATCTAGTTTTATTAGACAGACGCTCTGCCCATCTCCTGGTTTCTTTCCCTCTGACGCCTCTTACGACACTCACGAACGATATGGGTTAGTGAATGTTCTTACAACGCCACTACACGTTTATATTATCATCATCGTCTGTCTTTATATCTAAAACTATTCATAATAATATATAAAATAACTCACATTTGTGCTACGTAAGAAGAGAATCATATTCAAACGGTGTTGGGTCGGCTGCTCTTATATGTCACCACAATACTCCACCAGATATATTCGACACCTCTATTTGGTTGTCTACTTCTACCGCTAGAAGCTGTCGTCTTCTAATTCTTAGTCGAAAACTAATCACCAACCATAGAATTATGGAAATTACACTCAAGCTTGTTATAGCAACTATACCTATATATTGGGCATAACTTTGGTGTGTTGCTTGGTATGGTGAATACTCAAGTTTGTCATTAGGATTTGTTGTATATGCGTCATTTACGGTTCTTTGTGCTTGAAGTTTTGTTGTTGTGAATATATAGGGAACTGATACTTTAGATGAAATCGGAGTATTCAATCTTTTTCCCGTAAACGTTTTTTCTTGATCAGTATTGCTTGATGTAGCTATAGATACATCAAAATCTAAAAATTTGCGATTTATTTTTAATTGCTCATTTTGATATTCGTTTCTATTGAAAACATTTGCTGACGGTGTAGATTTGATTACGAAGGTCTCATTAAAATTTTCTTTAAGTTTCATTAGAATTTTGCTTTTTGAAATAACCTTTTTTTCAACCTTCTTTGTATCAGACACTATGTAGCTACTTTTTGATTTACTCCCCTTAATTTTTGATAAATCTTCAAAATTTCTATTACTTTTTATCTCAGTTTTGTAATTTTCCTGCCTCGAATAAGCTCTCTCAGTTTTATTATTGAGATATCCATAATATCTTAGTAATTTATTAATCATTTCAGTACTGTATAAACTAACAGGTGGCAAACTTTCATTTATCGTAAAAGTTTCTTGAAATGTACAGTTGTACTTTGTTATTTCAGATTTGTCTTCAGAAGTTGAAAAATAGCATGTTTCGCCATCGGACAAACTTTTGTTCCAATTCATCCAATCAGTCAACCATAACTCTCTGCTACAATTTATTTGGTTACCATGCAATCTTAGTGTCTTTAGTTGCACGAGATAAAATAACAAATCATTTCTTATTTCCTTTAAATTATTCATTCTTAAATCTAAATATTGCAAACGAGAAAACGCGGCTAAAGCTGCAGAATCGGCTAATAATTGTCTTGCTAAGCCCGGGCTAGCCTGTAAGTGAAGCATTTGAACGCTTTCAGGTGACGACATTGGAAATGAACCAACTTCTTCAGACACAGAAACATTTAAATAACAAAGCCTTAAATCCCGAAGTAATAATGGTCCATCAAATGTGCTTGAAGACAGCATTTGAATTGGATTATAAGATAAGTCAAGCATCTCTAATGAGAGCAAATCATCAAATACATGATCTTGAATAAATCTAATTTGATTATGCTGTAATAGCAAGATACGTAAACTTGGCAAATTTTTAAAATCTGGTATGGAAACGTTTTTAATGGAGTTATTACTAACTGATAAATACTTTAGTTCATCTGGCAATGATTTCGGTACGGAAGGGAGTAAATTATTATTGATGTTTAAAAATAACAGCATTTCAAGTCGGCCTAAGGAATCATCTTCTATAGTTATAATCTTATTATCAGTAAAATCTAAAGATTGCAGCAAGGGGTAACTGTCAAGATCTCCACATCTTACAGCTGATATGTTATTTCCTATAAGGGACAGAAATCGTACTGAATGTGTGAAAGCCTCAGGTACTTGATATAAACCTGTTCTGGATGCATCAATTTGTTGTAGTCTACGACCTGTTCCCACTAACAACTGCGTATCCAACTGCGTCATTCCTAAATGAGGGTTATCTGTCAATAATAGGCGAGCTAGATTTGGTAACAGTTGCAAAGCCCCTGGTGCTATTTTTTTTAAATTGTTATGAGACATGTCTAGATGTTGTAACAACCAATTATTAAAATAATTTTCATGTATAAATTCTATGCTATTTCTACTCAAATTGAGAAGTTGTAGGCTTTTTAACGGCGTAAAAACATTAGCCAAAATAGAAAGATTATTGTGCGATAAATCTAAATATTCTAATTTTGTTAAACCTGTAAAACTGTTTTGGAAAATACTTGAAATACAATTATTACTAAGAATCAACCGTCGTAAATTCGAATACTTGTTAAAGTCTCCTTTTTTGACAAACCGTATCTTATTATAAGATAAATCAATTTCTCGCAAGTTATATGGCATTATACTTATTTGAAACCTAATGATATTATTGTTTCGCAATGAAATTATATGTGTATCCAAAAAAGGAAGGTTGATAGCAATATTACTCTTATTGCAATTGGTTTCAAAATCAGCTGTAGTTTCCAAGTATGTCTTATTTACCACCTTACTCGTCCTTCTTATTGCCTCTTTTTCTTCATTACAGCACTTTAGCATCTGATAAACATTAGCATTTTCTTTTAAAGTTATATTATAGGAACATTTCTGGCATGGCATTAAATTATTATTACATGCACATATTTCGGGACAGCAGGATGCCAATCCAGTCATATGCCAAGATATAACAATCATTAAAAGCGAACACTCTTTCCAAGATGAACCCATATCTAGTGCTACAGCAAATATCAATTTACACTGGCTTAAAATGTAAATTATAGCACTGTGCTTGAAATATTTGTAGCATTATCACTTTTAATCACTGCGACATCATCTTCATATTCCGTTATACACAAATCTCACATAGTAACGTATTAAATTAAACACTAACACAAACACTTTTAAGTTGGTCCAGTTGTAATTGTCCTTCTGTGACACATATTTGAGTTAATAGTCGTTAGTTGAAATGATTATGTTAAATTTTCAATTTGAAAATCAATTAGTATTTAGATTCGTTTCAGCACATCAAGATTACATGGACATCGCACGTTTCTAAATTAACACAAGTGCCGTGTGTTACGTTCGTATTGGTTGATGGCCGACGCAAGCGAGCGGCTACAGTGAAGGCGCCGACTGGTCTGCCGGAGGACTGCGTGAAGAGAGGGCGAGTGGCATAGCGCCGGCGCTCTACCGCTCGAGCTTACATCCTTCACAACCTCATTTTTATATAGTCAACTGACTTCCACACCGCCACTATTTATGTATGTCATACTCGGTGCTCCCTAATACGTTATTTTGATAAAGGAAGAATTTGTAAATGTACGTTATATTTATTGGTAGCTGCGTTCCAGTTTGCGTTCAAGCAGGAGGAAAATATTTAAAAAGTTGTTCATATTATAGTACTTAATTGACATAAAAAGTCGTCGTATTTTAGTAATCATCCACTTAACGACTACATGACGGTACTTTCCAGAATGCCTGGTCACCTGGTTATCAATCCTAGTCAATTAGGTTTTGTGTCTATGACATAAGAATACAGACTAGAAACCATTATCCTACTTCTCAACCTATCGCATAAACATTATATGAGGCACAAGTAAATTTCGACGAGTCTTTATGTTAGCTTGTACAGTTCTGGCACTATAGCCTCCACGTGTTTTACAACTACGAGTATCAACAATTTTCGGCAGTTATCGACGTTAATAAAATTGACCAAAAACTCGGTATACGTACCCAGCTACTTAGTCAAAATCAATGCCTTTTTGTGTGAAAACAGCAAGTTAGGTGCACTTAGAAACATGTACATGCCGTGGCAAATAATAACTATTCACATAAAATAATATTTAAAAACGTCATTTTTGCAAAATTTACATAATTTAGACATTCCAAATTGTAAAAGAAATTTACAAGGTAAGTGGCTGATGTATTTTTCAGATTCATTTCAAAATTATGATTTTAAATATAGATCTAACAAATTTATTTGAACGCCATCTTTTCAAACATTTACATAAATTGCTGCCTTGAAAGCCTATCGAAAGGTCTCTTTACTGCGCTCCTTAATTAAGGTTATTTGAACTTTTCTCGTCCTCCTACTTTTTTAACCAGGTGTGTGATAACCTTTTATTACTCTACAGTCACATTGATGTAACTATATCTAGTACGTAATAGTTGTAACAAAAATAATATTTCAATTGAAATACATTTTACGGTTCCCACCGAATAAACAAACCTACTTGATTTTGAATTTTAAACACAACCCGAACGTTGAATAAAACTTTATAAAAAATAGCTTTTTTATATTACTCTATTTTTATTCACATGCTAAGTTATATAAATTATATTTTTATTAAAACCTTACTACAGTATATAAATAATATCCTAACACACTATCCAAAACCATATTAAAGCAGCCGGAAACATACGCTATATAACATGATTGCATTTCTTTAACGTTTTCATCCATTTTATGAAGCGGCTCTCCCGAATATATTTATTAAAGTGACCCTCAGACCGCAAACCACAAGATAAATCATAGTCAGGAAATAGCAGGGTTTTCGTGGTAAACCGAAAAAAGGGAAATCCTAATAAAGATAAATAATATTTTATTTCTAATATAGTTAAATAATTAATATAAACCAAGTAATACGAATAACACGTTATTTATACACATATCGTCTTATTACAAAACTTTATAATTAGTCTCAGGCTCAATAAGGCTCTGTTTCAGTACGTAAATAGGTCCCGTGGAAAATATACGATACGTATGTATGTAATTACTCTAAGATACGGACTAAAATATAAAGTATACTCGTAGAATTTAACAACCAATGTCAAAGTTGCCGAAGACTGTGACGTCACGGTTTAGAGACATCTTTCGTCACAAAAAAGAATATTTTTTAAATCCGTGACTATCAACAATACAAGTTTTGTAATAAGATCGATAGTATTTAAACTCAATTGTAAACTTCACGTTATTGGAACTATTTGCAAAGTTAAGGTTAAATCAATATTCGTTAATCAACATGTAACGCATCCAACTTAAAGCAAACGAACCCCTCGCCCAAAATATAAGGTACATACTACATATAACGAAAAATGTTTTATTACATATGTTTATTCAATTAAATATTCAATACAAAGACATTTAAGTAGTAGTAGTAATAGACTGTACATTAGCAACAAATGGTCATCTGTTACTTTGTCCTATAGAAAATATTTCGGATTTATGTCATTTAGTATCAGTGACATCGTCAAAAAATTGGTCAAGATGCATTCGTTTCCTAAATTTAAAAATTATTTTAAACAAAGTATACCCGATTTGCATTAAGGTATAGTAAGTCCCGGCATGTAGCAAAAACTGAATGTGATTTTACTATCGCAAGTGTAATGTATATTTACCCAATAATTTTTAAATTTTATTATATATGGTAGATTGCTCTAGAAAATTTACCATTATTATAATGAGCGCCCTTCGCTATCCAGTAACATCATTATTTATTTACCAAATGAGTTAGTGATTGCAACGTTTATCGATTGGGGTTATCGATAAAAAATATTATAAAGGATGGCGCTTTAATCATCTATAATGTTTAAGGAGGTGAAAAAGTAAATGATTCTCTACCCATACCAATAAATAAATCATGTGGGCCTATGTTGGGGCACACGACCGTTGATTTTAACATGAAACGTCTATGTCAGCCAGTACAACCATTCAACAAGATAGCCTTTTTATTAAATTTTTTAATACAATTCCATAACACCAGGAGAATTTCAAATGCGTTGCCGGCTTTTCAAAAAGGGGTTAAGATCGTTTCTTTGAGGTCCCTAAGTCGTATTGGTTCGTAAAAATCGCCGATAGTAAACGATTCCAAAAAATCTTCGTGCGAGGAAGAAAACTCCTAATAAATCGCTTGGTAGTTAACCGCCAAGAAACCAAATGATATGGATGGTAAACAACGTTAGTTTTGTCGCTATGTATTTTGGTAAAATTTGGTGGCTAGAATTAATTCTAACAATTCCTCAGAGCACTTCCCGTGGTAAATACGATAGAAAACGTAAATAGATACAACACCTCTACGCAATACCAGTGAACAGAACCAATTAAAGAGAACTCGGTCGTTGAAGATTCAATTCGGGCACTGGGGAGTACCAGCTCAGAGATGAGAACAGTATTCCATGTGAGGCTTTGTAAAGCTGCGCCTTGTAACGTTGCAAACGTTGTGCCGGCATGAAATATTGTCCCGCTCTACTGAGTACGCTAAGCTTTTTAGAAGTCAATTTTACTTTCTTCCAAGTGACCTCGATACTGTAGGTCATTCGATATATATACGCCGAAGATTTCGATACTGGCTGCGGCAACAAGGGAGGTGCCCCAAAAATGAAGACATTTGACAAAGGGGTTCTTTTTAGCGGTAACTTGTGATTGCAAACTTGTGATTAATTTTTATAATGATTTATCTTGTAACGACTTTTAGTTTCAGTGTTTGCATAACGTTTCTCGATGTGCCTTCGACGCCAACCTCAGTCCATTAGACACTATAATATGCTATTATAGTGTCTAATGGACCGAGTAAGGTCATCCAAGATAACATGAAAAAGATAAAATTGTTATTAGTAATTAATAATTTATTTTGTGACTGTGGTTTTTTCATGTGATGGGAGTCATAATGAATATATTTATACAATAAAACAATCATGCATATTATATCGTAAACCATTTCAAACTTCAACAACATTATAGATACTTTGATGTTGAAACGGTAACATTCCTATAACGGGTTTTTACCGTATATTTACTATCGATAGTTATTAGGGAATAGCTGAAATGTTTTCCGTAGTTTTGCTGTTCAGTTAGGAGGAGCTCACGCGCGTGAGCTCAGTTTTTGTATGCAAATGTTTCCATTGTTCGCTCTATGGTATACGTATTTAAATAATATCTTTGCAAAAATAATATATATTTATAGATAATTAAAGTTACAGCCTATATATGTCCCACTTCTGGGCACAGGCCTTCTCTTAGTACTAAGAGGGTTTTAGGGCAAATGATGTCCGACACG